TTGAACATGACTCATCACAAAACGTCCCTCCTAGTTCTACTTCGAACCTATCGGATCCACGTTCGATCCTTGGATTATGATTAGTATCTTGGTGGTCAAGAGTACGTTTTATACATAATTTTATGAAACATTTTTTCTTGTTTTACTATAATTATGTGTTCATTTAATTGTTATTTAATGCCTATTTTCATAGGTTATATCCTTTCGATATTTGCACTCGTCATATCTTTAAGACATTCTATTAGTATGTTAACATATCCGGATAGACGTGAAAGACAATGAGTTCAAAAACAAAAGACTTGTATCGGCAAAAGTTTAAGATAGTTTTTTGTTTAACTAATTTATTACATGACTTCATATTTAAATAAAGAAATATTAATGTTCAATTAAATATACTAATGAATATTTTTAATGTTCTTGCAAAAGTCTTTTAAATGGAAGTAGAATATCGAGAAAAGCATTAAGAAAGCATGGTAAAGTTTGATATGGAAGTAATATTCTGACTTTTTTTATCACATTAAGAAATACCTAAAGCTAACATATATCTCACAAGAGATATGGGATGCATGGCATAAAAAATGGGTAAAACCTAAGCTCGGTCCATCTAGACATACGTGGGGTTCGATCGACCATAAAGAGCACGCAATACACATGGTAAATCTTAATAATATATATATATATTGTAATTATTTTAATTTATTTAATTAAACATTTAAGTATATTTGTTTTAGCATAGTTAGTTCGATCATGAACCCGATACTCATAAGGTTTTCTTAAGGACTCAAAAGAAGAAGATCGATGATCGGTACATCTTCATTGATAAGTAAGCAAGAATTCTCGAGTAAGTAATTAATTTATAAGGTTATTTTATACGTATGTCACTTTTATATAACTTATTGACATATCTATTTAATATTAAAATTTATGCAATTATGTAGGAGACCATAGATAAAATATTAGAGGAGGAGGTTGCTAGTCGACATACGGATGGTACTTCATCACTCGATATCAATATGAACGAGATTTTTAAGAAGGTCGTTAGAGGAGAAGATAGTAAGAGGAAGATGATGTACAAACTCGGGTCACATGCCTCTTGCTATTATTCTAATGTGAGTACATCTTCTAGTTTGGCCACTTTGCGGTTCCATGTAGATAGTGAGGTGCGACGAAAGGAAATAAAGGCTCGTGCTACTAGAAATACGTAAAAGATCGAGCAATTAGAGGGTAATGTTTCATTGCTCTTAGCTACTACAAATGAGTTGAGACAATATACTCGAGAGCAACATGCGATGATGTAGCAGATGTTGCTAAATATGCAACGAGACAGTTCACCCAACGATCCTCCAACTAACGACCTTACTATCGCTTCTAGCTTTTATGTTTTATTTTTCGTGTAACGTTTATTTTATTAACAAACTTTAAAATTATTTCATAATTTGATGTTTTAATTATATTTCATTTTATATTTTATATTGATTTTGTAATATTTAAAATTCTTATGTACTACATTTTTTTATTTTTTGAATTGGAATAGTTTAATTTAAACAAAAAAATTCCTATAAATATTAAAAAAAAATTTCATACGAATTTAGCGATGGTTTTGTCCTATCGCTAAATTATAATTTAGCAACCATCTTTATAAATAGTTACTAAATATGTTATTAGTTTTGAACAATTTGCGACGATTTTAGCATCAATTTTTCAAAACGGTTGTAAATAAGGCATTGATTTATAAAAATAGTAGCTAATTTATAAAAAATTAACATTATTTTTTCACAAAATTAGCAACAAGAAAACTGTCGCTAAAAATTTTACGAAAAGCTTTTTAGCGACGATTTTAGACCATCGCTAATTAATATTAGCATCGATTTTTCAAGAATTAGCGATGGTTTAAACCATCATTTTCGATAGTGTGTGTCAAGTATAAATCAAATAAAGAAAAGGTTTGATACCTTGAGTGGCCATGAAAGTTACCCACTAATACTACGTCCAAATTCGAATGGCTTTTAATGGTGTACTTGGAGAGAACAAGTAAAGATTTTAGGACAAAGTATTTTTTTCTTTTTTGTTTTTAATTAGAGAGGAGGTACGGAGTTTATTGAACTCTATCATGCATGCATCCATATATGTAAGAGTTTCGGATCAATTTAGCTCTCCTAACTCGAGCTTATATATTATAATAGTCCGAACGAGTTAGTTACCCACGCTACACAGCAGGCGAGTGTGACGTTTTTTGCAATGGAAAGTAATATCGGAGTAGCAAAATAACCAATATAATAATATTGGTCATAAAGTTATTTTGATGGTGATTTTCATGTGTTTCCCCTATCTATTTGTGAGATAAAAGCTTTTGCAAAGCTATTTATTTTTCTTGTTTACACATGTCTATACAATGAAGCATGGAAAGAATACGAGTTCATATAAAAAAGGATATTGATAATCGGCAAATAATTTTATGTTATTTTTTTGCGAGTTTATGCCTCGGTTTTTATGTACTTGATTGGCGGATGGTTTTGTTATTAAATCATTACAGAGAAAAAGCATACACCAATGGAGTGTATTTAATGTTATATATGTTTTTTGTGATCGAATAAATGGTGGCATGCCCGTATTGATAAGTTTATGAGAAAGAAACTTCACTTGTTTTAAGCTCGTTGCATATATGTTTTGTACTCTAGTGTAAGTACTTGTTTTAAGCCTATGGCAATGGCGAGAATGTGAGTATTGTGAGGACCCCATTAAAATGATGGATAGGCTACAAAATTTATCTTTTCTTCAAAACCATAATGGAAGCTACCATCACAATGACCAAACAATCCATGTTTCCTCAACTTTAGGCCTTTCCTATAAAATATGATCCCTCTCTATGGTCTTGAAGACTTTTCGATTGTGCGGGTAACAATATCATAATATTTAAATGGACTAAGACATTCCCGTGAAAGATAGATAAAAAAACAGTAAGAAAAAGCTTTTAAAAAAATATTCAAGTACTTTAATTGCGGAGCGATGTGTAATTTTTGTTGCAAAAAATTGTTCTTCTCAATAAGAAGTTGTTCCGTCAGTCATCAAGCACTTGAAAAAGCATGCTTCAACAAATAAATCCATAATAAAATCTAAATCCTAATGCACAATAGATTTCTTACATTCTAATACGTATGTTAATGTTTAGTTTAGGCATTTACAACAGTAGGCAATCGGTAAAGATAAGAAACCAATCAATTATAAGCTTCTTTTTTAAGATTATACATTTCAAGTATTCTTAACACTCGATCTAGGTTTATTATGCATATATTAAGATTGCTTCATTTGCTTATGTTCTATATTTTTCAAAGAGTTTGAAATTAAAAATCAATCTAAAAATACATAAAATCAACTAAATCCTCATCATCTTCAACCTCTAGACCCACAAACATTGCCCGAAACTTCATTAATTCATGCCTCCCTCATTTCAAAACAACCTACAAAAACACACAAAGTTGAAACAAAATTCATGAAGAAAAAAATAGAGATCAACACAAAAATTTAGGTCGAATAAGTAAAGTCAAAGCTTCGTATATGGATTTTAAAAGTTCTGAAATTAATTTTAAGTAAACAAAGGTAAAAGAGGAATGAAAAAAAAAACATGAAAAAATTAAATAAGAAAACAAAAGGCCCATAATAATCACCATTGTGTTTATTATTGTAATACCATTAATTTTTCTATCCATTCAATGCGTTATCATTCCATATTACAAGGTAACTAAACAGTCAAAATAGAACTACAGTATCAAAATAAAAGATTGATAGAGTTTCACCTAAAATAAAACCCAACAACCCAATTCAATTGCAAGTCAATGGTAAGATAGAAATTAATGAAAATGCTAGGGCTGAAAGCAGAGCAACACACACATGCCAAATGAACGGAAAAAAATAATCTGAGAAAAGGCGATAAATAAAGGAACTGAGTCTGAAGCTACAGGATGTGAACAATCACAAATGCACTTCTTTTAGTTTTTTTTTTTTTTAATCACATAACAAAATGCACGTTATCTACGTACAATAATATCTCTCTATCGTACCTATGTTGGGAATTTATAGGCATACAACAAGGCATCTCTTTTATTGTTCTCTTCATATAGAAAATGGAATGAACGTACGACCAAAGGAGAAATGTATGGATGAAAAATATATGTTATTGTGGCCCTACCACCAAACTGTGAGGTTCCGCCACATATGTCAACACGCCCCGTATATCTTTTCTTGACTATCAAGTTTGAGAATACATATGACTAATTCAAACTAACCTTTTTTTTTTTTTTTGCATGGAAAAGAAAATAGACTGTTCACCACTTGCCAAAACACTAAGAAAAGACAAAATTGAGCCATACCAAACCAAACTCACGACAACCTAGAGAGATTGGATTTGAAATTGTATTAATTTTCTGATAAAAATAAATTGTAATTAATTAAAAAAATTGAGAACAAGAATGGAAAATCATAAATTTTTATGTGCTTTGTCACAAAATGGATAAATATTTTGAGACATCATTACATAGAAATATGTACGTACAAATTAACAAAATTAATTAATTTGAACAGAGGGAGTGCTTTTATATATGATATAATTACAATTATTCTATGAAATAAATAAAACCAACAACAGCTAGCACTGCCAAAAGAATATTCACAGTAAATAATAATAATAATAATTATATATCATAAATTGAATTCAAGATATACAACAAATATATTTGGGACAAGTAATTAATAAACCATCAAAGAAAAAAACAAATGAAGTAATAAATCAAGAAAGATTAATTCCTAAAACTTGTGAGTAAAAAATACGGTTGGTTAGTCCGTTAACCCCCTCCCTCCATAGTTGGTACGGAAGCCCACTATTCGTAGCACCGACAACGAGAGCATTCTCGACCTGTTATTAACCACATGAATTCACCTCCAAGAATGGCGGCATCCCTTTAATTAGTCATCATGTTCTTCTTCTTTTGCGAAAATGGAACGTCTTAGTTAGCTACAGCAACTGGAGTCCTTGGACTAGGAATTCCCATATATGCAAGCCTAGGTGAGACCCTGAGCTTCGGGCTGGGGCGTGGAGAAGGGATGGGGCCATAGTTGGCCAGATGCTCAGGAGCCACACGAGGGGATAGGTTGACTTGTTCCAGCGCTCTCGACTGTAGCCCTTTAGGGTAGTCCCGCACGCACCCAATCCGGGGTCCAGCCCCAGTGGTCCATTTGCATGGCAGTCGATCGGACAAGTCAAATACTGTTGTTGCCTGTGTATTGGAACTGTTAGTGTTGGTATTGTCTACTTGATCAACGGTTGTGATGGCAGTGTTCATGGTGACCGCGGAAGAATCAGCTGTATTTGCAGCGTTCAATGGTGAGATATCAGGAGGACCCAAAATAGACTCTGGTGTTTGTTTCTCTTCAGTGACCTTTACTGAAGGAGTGTCGTCATCAATTGCACACCTCTGGATACAAAATCATACATACAAAGAAAACAGCATATCAGCTATTTTTGTACTGAAACTAATTTCACAGCACAAATGAGATAAGTTCCACAAAAAATGTTGTGGTGGACAAATAAACATATGTACTAATGAATCTAGCTAGAGAGAAGTGGATACCTTAACATTGGTGAGATCTACAAGGTTTTCCTGGAGAAAGCTAATGAATTCCTTAAAGTTTTCTTCTGTTGGGTGGTAATGACCACTGTATGGCCAGATAGCCTGTGTAACATTAGAGACAAATTAATGAGGTACTGGAGATGCATGCTGATATAGCTAGAATTACGTAACAATGTGTAGGTAGGTAAAATGTGTATATATATAATTATAATTATATATGAAATTGTACCTCAAGAATCCCATCATGTGCAACTAATCTCCCAGCAGCCGTGGTGGCACCGCCGGAGAGAAAACTAGAGTGTTGAAACCTACCCTTTTTCTTCTGCCCCACGTACAAAGCCCTAGCTGTGCTAAGCACAAATATCCACTTGGTACCTTCAACTGTATCCACCAGAACTCCGCTTTCCTTATAAACAAGCTTCCCATTTTCAACTATTACTTCATATGCTTGCCTTTCTTTCTGAAAAAGAAAAAACAAAAAAAACTTAATAAATATATGAAGATATATATATATTGATCCAATGAAGAGATCTATCTATGCATATGGTTTCTGCACCCAATGTAGATGACTGAAAATTAGTATCAAATTGTCATGTAACTTACTGGTCCAAGATATTTGATGCATTGACGGTGTAGAGGGGTCCTTGGACATTTTGATAGATTTACTTCTTTGCCATCTCCAACATCCAACCTTCATTTCATTGCCCAGAACATTGTAAGTCACAAATTAAAGAAGTGAGATATAGGTGACTATTAAGCTGAAATGTAGTTTTACTATAGATACACAGAAAATCGCAGAAATTAGGGAGGACATTCTGATAGTCACAATTTTCCTCGTTTCAATTTCTGTTGATATTATATAGAAATTTCCAAGTTTCAATTACCAAACCTAAGCTTCCTTAACTGTGGATTGAAGTTATGTTGGACAACCAAATTAATGGTTGAATTAAAAGCTTTTCCAGCATGCAGTTTTCTCTTAATTACCAAACAGCAATTTGTGAAAGTACTTACCAGTAGAAGAAAGGTTGACTGCTCTCACTTTTGAACCAGACATCATAGTAAAAGTGCAAATTATGACCATATCGATGGCGTGGATCAATCTGTTAAGCATGATGAAAATTGGATCGTTAATTTACGTACAAATGTTAGACCAGTACTGCCGTCAAGTTGTAAGGAAATGCCTAATTAAGCTTCTGCTCATTAATGCTGATAAGAAAATATTGAACTTAAAAGTAGAATGGTATGTCATTAAGGCCAATTGGAATTAGTACAGTTTCACACATAAAAAGTCTTAAAAATGACTTACAGCTTCAAGCCAATGCTGCAGGGCTAGCTTCTGAGCTTTCTCATCCTTTGACAAACCTTTTCCCACCTGCAATGAGAAATTACTTTTTTAAATATCCATTTGATTGTCAAAAAATAAATAAATAAACAGAACAGAAATATTTCGGCATTTCTATTGGGGGAAAAACCCATTAATTTGTTGAAACTAGAAATGGTAAAAAGTTGAAAAAGGTACCTTGGCAGCCCTTGTTCGAGCCCTTGCCCACCTTGAAACAGTAGTTTCTGGTTTCTCATCATTGAAGAATGACACAGAACTCCGCTTGAGAGCAGCAAAATCCAATGCCTTCCACCTGCAATGTATCAACTAACCAATTAAATCATCCACCAAAAAACACATCAAGATTTAAGCAGTTTCTTGATAATTGCAGATTAAGGACTAACCAGAGCTCCTCAACCACAACTGCACAATCTGCAAGATTTCTTCTGGTCCGGTAACTCTTATAAACCTTTTGAACTTTAACTGCAGCAGCTTCAAGCTCACTTACGGGTCTCGGTGGAAAAAAAATTCAGGTTCAGGAAGGGAGAGCGCCGGCACTTTTTTAAGCATCAATCCATCTCTTCCATTGAAACAATCTGAATCCAAGTTCCCCTTGTCTTGAACTAGACTCTTGAATGACAAAGATTGCTCTAGCGATACTTTTACGGGCGCACAGTACTTCAAGTTTCTTGAATTTCTACTGGTATTTGTATTAGACTTGATCGGCTTGGTCGTGGTTTCTGTATTTGTTAGCTTAAAGCTGTCTGCTCTCAAAGTTACACCTCCATGTTTGGGACTGAAACACATGTCGTAGGCCAAACCAAACAAGCTATGTCTTACAATTTCTTCCCAGGCTGAATATAACAAGGAAAGCGATACACCCATACAGTGTAAAGCACCAACGCACCTCCCTTTTATGAAGCCAAGACAAGCTGCTTGGACATGATCCAAATTATTAAGAAAAATATTGTTAAATCTCAAATTGATATTACTTGAAAGTATTTTATCTATAGATTGCTACTTGCTTATTTTTTTATATATATAAATATATAGTCAAGTCAACCGCAAAACAGTTCTGAAGGGTGCAATAGCCGCCTCAAGACCAAAGCTAATTCCCATTGACATGAGACATTTAGACATTCTTCAGCAAAATAAATGGAGGAATTCAAAGTTAGAACAAATGAATGAATTTTCAAAAGTCGGACATTCAGACAATTAAACATGCACAATCATACGCACCGTTTTCTATAACGCCCCCCACCCACAATCCCAAAAAAAAAAAACTTCTTTTCTGTGATGGAACCGGTAAGGACCCAGCATATAACACAATAAGGGTACCAAAACATAAGGAAAAAAGAAAAAAAAAAAACAAAGATATTTGACCTCATTAATTCCGATCATTTTACAAATAGTTAACGACATGAATAAACATATGTTAGTGCAAAATGTAAAATTAATGACCAAAACCAAATAATCATTTCAACAGATATCATGTATTAAATTAATATGCTAATGCCAATGATAAAACACCATATTAAACAAAATGCATAGATCCTCCACGAAGAATGAGAAAACACCATATTAAATTAGAGAAAATAAGAAAAAGAAAGTTATGTTTTGTTTGCTTTACCTGTAATCCAGGACTTAAAACAGAGCTTTGGCCAAAAATAAATAATATGAAATTGTTGTAATTAAGTAGAAGAGGGTATGATCTGTGACTGCAGAATGTGTATGAGAATTTTGACTCCCCCGGCCTTGCTTCATATATAAAGAAATCCAGTAGACGCTTCAAAGGCGTGGCAACTTGAAAGGGAACAGCAGTCGTAGGATTCTCGAAAGAAAATCAATAAGAGATTATGGGGTTTGAATATAAACAGTAATAATAATGTGGTAGAGGTAGCTGAGTGTGGCTCACGTGTCCATTCATTCAAAGACTGCTTAAATTTCCAGCTTCAACCGCCACGAGTGGTTTGATGAATTCAAAGCTTGACGTTTTTAATTTCAGTCACCTTTTGGCATCTGCTGCCTTTTATATATATATATACACACACACACACAATACTAATACTAATAGGGTTCTGTTCTTTACATATTAATTTCCCCTTGTAACCTGGGGACCTTTTTCACGCGGACATTACCCCCACAGCACGTATGAAAGAGAACAAGAAGAAAAAGATAAAACAGAGAATATGGATGGTCAAATAACGTAAGCTCAAGCTTGTAAGGTTTTTCCTTGAAAAAATTAAACGCGATCTTGCCACCATGATACATATTCATCACTCGGATTTTTTCTTTTTCTTTTTTCTTTTGGCAGTCAACGAGCTTTTGGTCATGGCTTGGGTCATGCACGCGCTGTGGAAGATTTACTTTACTTGTATTGTTGCATCTAATGTTATTTTGCTTGTTAACCAGAATGTTCCACCATTAATTAATTTATAAAGCATGATTGTCTGTTATTCGTCAGATCTTAAAATGATGTCGATTATTACTACTATATGATTTGATGGAATAAGTTTTTAATTTGAGTTTATGTCTCCTTACATATCACTATTCTATATTGTATCACTGTTTTAGTTTTTCATTGAATTACATAACTGAAGTAATATTTTGTTATTTCTTCTCTCCCTTTTTTTTTTTTTAGAATTTGAATTTAATACCTTTTAAAAGAAGTAAAGTTGTTGAATTGTTCGACTTTTTAAACATGTGATACCGAAGTACTAATTCGTAAAATATTAATTAGTACTCAAAATGCAAGACTAGGTAGCTACCAATAGTTATTTTGATTTGATTCAAACCAACTAGGATCTTCCGACGAGGCCCAACGTAGACAAGTCTTTCCGATTCAGTCTTAATTGGAATCATATATACTCTCTCACTTACATTACTCCTCACCTACCCACCTACCTGATTAATTTGAAATTTATTTATTTATTGTTGTGTTGGTTACGAAGAAGGTTGATGATTCAATGAGCTGGCCGGATCTAACATTCACACATATATACCTAATATACGACTAACTAAGTCTAAAAGCAATTATTATGCGCATATATATATGTGGTAATTAATTGGTACGAAGAAGTTTGAGTATCTAGCAGGGAATTTCATCAACCATGCATGAACATATATATATATATATATATATATATTCACCAACCTTCTTAATTAACTGCATTACGGAAAAACGGACGTGTTCATAATTTTGGAAGAAGACCAAATTAATTAGTCATCCAAGGCGATCAATCGAGGCTTGCGTGGATCAAGTTTGATGTGATTAATGTAATAATTAGTTTAATTAGTTTCTGTGTCTGAGGCACAATAAGAGTAAGAGCAACATTGCTAACCTTCGGGGAAGTTTCTTTAGCATTTTCTGTAAAATTGGCACAAATGTTAAGTAGTTCCTTTTGTCTCATTTCCTGCCATATCTGTCAAGGTGATTGACCTGTCTAATTGCTTGTGTGGACTATGGACCACTTTGAGAAATTTTATAATAATCTAGTAGGAAATAGTGACAGTTGATAAGTTATTCAATCCTTTATAAACGTCAACTGTCATGTCATTAAATTTTTTGATACATGTGGCTTTAAGAATAATATGACATGGAATACTTTAAAAAAAACGTGATAAAATTTATGTTACAACTAATAACCCTAACCAAAAAAGCGTGATAAAAATTTTTTTGTGGGAGTAACCATTGGTTTGGTGGCTGCAAAAAGTTTCTCCCAATCTTTCTATTTGAAGAGAAGAGAAATAAAAATTAGGTTAGTGCCTTCAATTCTTTTCTCGCCAATCTTTCTAATTGAAGAGAAAAGAAACAACAAGGCTTTTAATCGAAGAGAAGCAACAATGGAATTAGGTCGGTGGCTACAATTCTTTTCTCACCAAGTTTTACGTTACGTTGCGGATTAGGTGTGCATGGTTTTGAGGAGACTGCAGGTGCAATAATGGTTATGCGGATCATGCATGCACATTTAATCACTAACGGGCAACTGAGGTGGCAAATCTATTACAAGTCCGTAATAGAGGCGGAATAAGTTGGAGTGTGAAGAGTGTGAGGAGCGATTAGGAATTTGTTACAAGACAGTTAAGTAGTCGGTTAGCTTAGAGAATTCATTTTTAAATAAAGGAAAACTCATTTTTAAATAAGAGAAATCACATTTTTGTAAAGTAAAAAAAATATTTGGTGTTTTCACCCTTTCCGGATTCCCTCCGTAATCTCTTTTCCGGAATTCTATCTTCTACTCTTGTTTCTTCTATTCGGTAACGATTTCTTCCTTTATCTTTTATAATTTTGATTTATCAATTACCGTTGTATTGAGTTCATTTCAGTTTTGATTCAAATAACATCATTCAATCCATTGTTCTTGCATCATTGCTCTTGCATTACTCCGTAATTTCTTGTTTCGGAATTGAAATTGCATCAATTGGTATCAAAGCTTTGATTCCGTCACTTGTGGAAAACTAATACATCGATCATGGCAAAAGGAAATGCCGATCTTAAGAAAATTGAGGAATCAATTTCCACCTTCACTAAGGCAATCACCGACCTTACTCTTAGGTGTGACTCTGTCTTTTCACAACATGGTCATGACATTGGAGAATTAAAGGAGATGTTTAATGGACTGACGATTACTGATCATTGAGAAATTGAATGGTAATGTAGCCGAGGATTTAGAAAATATGAATGAGAGGGGATATGAAATTCCTAGGTATGGTTATTCAATGCGGGGAATGAATACCGGTGGAGGATCTAACGAGTGGTGTAGGGGCGAGTATGGGTTATAACTTCAACACTAGGATGTCTAGAGTGGAATTTCCCGATTTGTAGAAGATGACTTTGAGGGATGGACTTTCGGGTGTCGAAATTTTTTATAGTGGATAGAACTCCCGAGGATGTTAAGGTGGATCCGGCGACAATACACCTGAAGAAGAAGCATTGGAATGGCACCAGTGTCTTCATGAGAATGAATGGAAACCGATCACCGATTAAGTGGGAGGATTATATTGAAGCTATGAGCATACGCTTCGATATTATGGTTTTCAATGATCCTACTACTGAATTAATGGGAATTAAACAAGTGCGGGATGTCCAATCCTTCCTAAGAAAATTTATATCTATGGTTAATAGAGTTGGTTTTACCCGAAGACTATGTTATTAGTTGTTTTATTAGAGGACTCAAACATGAGTTACAAGTTCTAATCGGGGTGATGAGACCAAAAAGCTTTAAAGAAGCAATAGCTATAGCTAAGCTGCAAGAAACCAATCCAAACATTCACCATACCCCAAACAGATCTGTCGCCGCAGTCAATTCTCCTATATTCACCCACAAATCAAACAATAACCCGACCTTTTTCAATTCCAAAATGAATAATGTTACCACTTATAAACCTCCAAAATCCTCATTCCAAAATGCACCTACGAATCAGCCCATTAATTCCACAAACAACCAAAAAGGCCCGTTACCATTGCCAAACCAATTCCAAAATAACAACTCGGTCTTTAGAACTCGCCTAATAACACGAGAGATAGATGAAAGGAGGATAAAAGGACTCGTGCTATTTTTGTGATGACGGATACACTCCCGGCCATAGGTGTAAGGGAAGGAAAATGTTAATGTTAGAAATGGAGGAGGATGGTGATAATATGGGGGAGATTGAGATGAGTGAGGAGGAATTATTAAGGGAAGAGCCACTAGATACGGGGAACTATAGTGAGGAATTATGTCGGATATCGGTATAGGCGAGTGTTTGGAGGAGAGCATTACCGGACTATGAAAATCATAGGGAATTTATAAGGGAAAAGAATGAATAGTTTGGTGGATACCGGAAGTACACATAATTTATGGACTTAGGATTTGCCGGGAAGAATAATTGCAATCTAACTCGGATCGAGCCAATCACAGTGAAGGTGCCCAATGGTGCGGACATTATATGTGAGTATATATGTAAGGATTTTAAGTGAAAGATGCGGGGGTGGATTTTGAATCATCGGTGTTTGTAATGCAATCGGGGTTGTATGACATGATATTTGGGGTAGTTTGGCTTTATGCATTGGGTGATATCACTTAGAACTTCCAACACATGTGGATGAGATTTTGAATGGGAACTAGGTTGTTCATACTATTAGGAAAGGGGGTCAACTGAAGTAAAGCTAGGGAAAAAAGGGAGGTAGACGAAACATTTGCTCCGAACAATCACTTGATTAGATCCAATTGAATGCATTGATTGAGCTCGAAGTGTGAGAGCTAGAAAAAATGAAGGTAACCATACGAGCATCGGATTCCCTTGGAGTTAAGGGAAGTAGTAGATGCATTTGAGGAGCCAAAAGGACTACCACTAAACGAAGTCATGATCACAAAATAAGGCTCAATGAGGGAGCTGAGCTTGTAACCGGGAAGCCTTATAGGTACCATTCAATCCAAAAGGATGAAATAGAGCGACAAGTTAAAGATATGCTTGGAGAATGGCATCATTCAAGCTAGTACCGAGTCCTTTTTCTTCTTTTGTGGTGTTAGTGAAGAAGAAAGATAACATATAGAGGATGTGTGTGGACTACAAGAGATTGAATCAGCTTACTATCAAGGACCAATTTCTAATTCCAGTCATTGAGGAACTATTAGAGGAGTTGCGAGGGTCGGTGGTGTTTTCTAAATTAGATGTAAGGGTCGGTTATCATCAAATTAGAATGAATTTGTTAGATATTCCAAAAAAGGCTTTTAAAACTCACAATGGACACTATGAATACTTAGTTATACCCTTTGGTTTAACTAATGCCCCTAAGTACCTTCCAATCCCTTATGAATGATGTGTTTAGACCATTTTTGTGTAAATTTATTTTGGTTTTCTTTGATGACATCTTGGTTTTTAGTAAAACTATACATGAATATGTTTTGCATCTACAAACCACTTTGTCCATATTGAGGGAGAACACCTTATTTGTAAAAAAATCCAAATGCACATTTGGAACCACCAAGGTAGAGTATTTGGGGCACTTTATCTCTCAGTAGAGGGTACGGATCGATCCACGATGGAGGCGATGACAAGTAGTGGCTAGTACCTATAAACATGAAGCAATTAAGAGGGTTTTTGGGCTTTATTGGTTACTACGGAAGATTTGTGAGGAATTATGGTAAGATAGCCGGGACACTCACTCGATCTACTAAAAAAGGATGCATTTACTTGGAATTTAGAGACAAATGCAGCATTTGAGGAGTTGAAGCAAGCCATGACCATTACCCTTGTGCTCGGCATTACCACAGCCTACAAGAGGAGTTTGTTATTGAGACCGATGCATCCGGAATGGGTATAGGCGCTATTTTAATACAAAAGGGACATCCAAGTTGCTTTCATTAGTAAGCAACTTTCACCTAAGCATCAGTCGTTATCAGTATACGAGAAGGAGCTTCGTTGCTATTCTATTTGCAAGTGAAGAAATGACACTTTTATTTGGGTGATAGTACACTTCATCATCCGTACGAACCACTAGAGTTCGAAGCATTTGTTAGACCAAAATATACACACTGCTAGCCAATTTAAGTGGTTAGTAAAAGGGATATGATTATGAAATTATCTACAAGAAGGGAAAAGAAAATATGGTGGCAGATGCATTATCCGAGGTGTAACTAATTGCTCTAGCTACTTCTTCAATTTCTGCCGACTTAATGGAGAAGATTAGAGAGTCTTGGTCTTCGGATCATGCATTGGCGTAAGTGATATCACAATTGCAAATTTCGGGAGTAGTCCATCCCAAGTATAAGTGGTAAGATGACCAATCGAGAAGAAATGACAGATTGTTTGTGGGGAGAAATGCAGAATTACATAAGGAAATAATTTCATATTTCCATGATTCGGCTACAGGTGGCCATTCCGGAGTCGCGTGCCACTATTAAGAGGTCGTCACCATGGTTTTACTGTAGGGGGCTTAACCGTGAAGTAAGGGAGTTTGTGAGGAACCGCTCTATTTGCCGACAGTGTAAGTATGAGAATGTGGCTAGTCTAGGGTTGCTCAATCCATTGCCATTACCTCGAGCTATCTTTACGGACATTACTATGGATTTTATCGAAGGCTTGCCATTATCTCAGTGGAAATCAGCTATTTTTATGGTGGTAGATAGGTTGACAAAATATGCTCATTTCATACCTCTATCTCATCCCTATTCCGCCAGATGTGGTAGCAAAAGCTTTCATGGAGAATGCTTATAAATTGCATGGGCTGCCACGAATATCATCTTAGATAGAGATTCTATTTTTCTTAAGCAAGTTTTAGAAGGAGTTGTTTGCATACCATGGAGTTTCCCTCAAGTTTTCCACCGCCTACCATCCACGGACGGATGGACAAGCCGAGATTGTGAATAGATGCTTGCAAAC